AGTTATTCCTGTGATGGCAAAGCTGCATTTTCAGCAGCCATTACTTCAGTCTTCAGTCACATGATCCTTCAGAAATCATTCTAATATGCTTATTTGGTGCTCAAGAAACATTTCTTATTGTCATAAATGTTGAAAACCGTTGTTGTGCTTAACAATTGTTGTGCAAAAAGTGGGAAAAGAGCTACTTTTTTCAGGATTTTTAATTAAAAACAATTGAAAAGAACAGGATTTTTAAAAACATAATCTTTAAAAAAGTTGTAAATGACTTCACTATCACTTTAAATAGATACATTTCTATGTGTCCTTGCTGAATAAAAGTGTTAATTGTGGGTTTTTTTTAAACTGATCCAATAATTTAAACAGTAATGTGTGTATATATTGTGTGTGTCTCAAGTTTAACTCATGTAAATATTTTCTTTTTACAGGTGATGTGCGGCTCACACCAGAAGACTTTACTCGGGCTCAGAAATACTGTAAATATGCAGGCAGTGCACTGCAATATGAGGATGTGGGCACTGCCATCCAGAATCTGCAGAAGGCCCTGAAGCTACTAACCACTGGCAAAGAATGAGACCATTGTGCTGTCCCCCCTAAAACCACTTTATCAGAGATCTGGCCCAGAGGAACTGAAAAAGGGCCTTTTCCTTAGCCCCATCTGTATCAAAAAGAGACACGCCACAGGACGCCCCCCCCCATCACTCAATACAACATCTGTTTCTGCCATATTGGATGTCAATAGTTGCTCATTACTAGACAGATGAGATACAGATACAACACTAAAAAATCAGGTGCATGTGAAAGACCCTTTCAAATTCTGAGGAGTTCATACATATTCATGGTTTGAGGTGTTTTAATGTTTTTTTTTTCTGGCTTCACAACAATTTGTTTAGATATGCATGGACATGGAAGCATGTCTCAAGATATCTTTTAAGCAGGAATTCTCATCTTACCTCAAGCTCTCTGCAATATGAGCTTTAGAGACATTTTGCCCTTAACTACTTTTACTACTTTCCGTTCACTTCTGTGTGTATGCTTCGGGTGAAAGGATTCTGCAGTTAGTTTACATAGTAACTGTTTTCTGCCGTTAGTTATGCATTGCTCTGATCAACAATAAATATTTTCTTGGTCAGCTCTTTTATTGGTCATTTGCAGTGCACGTTTGGTGGTTGATTATTACATGTAGTCATTATGTGCTGCTTTCCAAGGTGTATGCATTGAATCATGTGAACTATAAGCATTGCACACATGCAGTTAGAACATGAATAAGGATTATAATAGTGTTAACTTTGGATTCCTGCACAGACAGCCTTAAATCAATGGCAATTATAAACCAAATCAAATTGAAAATGTGTGCAGATTATTCGGCTGAATTAAATTCAAAAGATTTTCAGTCATTTTCTTATTGAAGCTGTTTCTGCTACAGAATAAAAAAAGAAAAGAAAAAGTAATTGCAATTTTTATCTTACATGTCAGATAAACTCGCTATTCTTTAAAAAATAAAAAAAAGTTACAATCACGAGATATAAAATTATGACTTTTTTTCTTGCAATTCCAAATTTACATCTCACAATTCAGTATTTTTTTCTTCAGAATTCTTGAGTTTATCTCTCGCAATCATGTCTTCGCAGAATTCTGAGATTATCTCTCACAATTCTGACTTTTTCCTCAGAATTATGAGTTTACGTCTCGTAATTGTGACCACAGAATTCTGAGCTGAGATTCTGAATCTCAGATTGATACTACTACTACTACTACTACTACTACAATTACAAGATTTTAAAGGTAACTTGCAACTTTTTATCTCATTCTGATCTTTTTTTTTCTTGCAATTACGAGTTTATATCTCAGAGTTTGGACTTTCCTTTTTAGTGTCTCACAAGGGAGTTAACATCCCACAGTTAGATATAAACTCAGGATTGTGAGAAAAAGTCAGAATTGTGAGTTTTAAACGTCGCAGTTACCTTTTTCCATGGTAGAAACGGGCTTCCATACTTTCTCCTTCACTGTCATAAATGCTTTTTTTTTTTTTCATGCATAGTTGATTTTTTAATCATTCCAGGTGGCAGTAACAGTAAAATGTGCTGCAGTAAGTATTCCTGCAGACTGAAAGACAGGGAGGATATTGTATTTCAAAGGCACTAAAGGTAATATACACTGAGTGTAGTTATGTTATGATGGGTCATTTTTTACTAGTCACAACCTGTTCAGCCCTATGCATGACTGAACATGGTCAGTTCAGTGTGCATATTCAGGAAACATCTAATTACAATAGACAGTTCCTGTTGTTTTCTGCTCAACTTGTGATTGTTGCGGTCACATTAGCGGTGTCACTGTTTTCCTCTCTTTCCACAGTTTAGCCTGACGTGTAATAGAAAGGGCATTGCACTTATCTGGAAGTAGACAGAGCTATCACTGCATGCATCTGCATTTGCCTGAATCCTTTCCTGTCTCACTGTGGATGCAAATGAACATCACCTGGGATTTTCCATCCCACCTGTCTTACTCCTTTGTACTCTGGTTTAATTGGCTTAAGTGAATTTTCAAAGTAATGTATTGCTTCTGATAAAATCCATCTAGGACAGCATATACATTTACACTACAGCGGAGGATTAAACCATAACATTATGTCTGTTAACCTTTAAAAATTAACCTTAAATTCTGAGTGACCGCATTCATCAAATCTCGTGACTTTATAATCCCTTTTTAGTGTTTAAAGTGTTTAAGGGTATTGACGTTGACGCACACAGATAACGTTTATGACTTGATCGCTATCAGTGCTGTGGGAATAGAGAAAGCCGTTAAATCTTTTTTTACCACCATGTATGCTGCATTATCATTAAAAGTTACCATGTTTTGCAATGGCTATTGAGCAGAACAAATTAGTAATTTGTGAACAGCAAAGAATTTGGAAGGATCGTTCAAATCTTAATTTCTGGCTCTGTAGTTGTTTTTTTTTCCATTCAACATCTTCAGCCAAGTTCCTGTGTTATGGTGATAAAATGTCATTGTGGCTGTAAATCTCAATACTAAACAAAACATATAAATGTAGCTAGCCTATAATAAATGTCCATGTTATTGTGTATGGGTTCTCACACCCACAATAGATCAAAACCGAACAGTCCCCTTCAGGGACTCAATCTGATTCAAAGAAAGGCAGGCTCTTCATCCAAATGAAGGATGACAAAATGTGTAGTATTATCATTCATCAGCTCATAGGCTTGTCGTAAACAGGAATTGGTTACAAGCACATAACCTGAGATTTCTGTAGAGCGTACTATTTGACCTGAATGTTGAAATGTAAGTATCTGACGTAGCCTACATGCAAATACAGTTATCCGACTTGTAGGAACTATCTAACTGGAAGATCTTTGACGCTGAAAACAAAGTAGCTAGCATGGGTGACTGAGGACAAGCTCATCCTTACAGTCCTTTTATAAGGTCTTTAACAAATTAGTAAGAAGTAATCATTTGTTCATGAAAATATAATTAGAAAAAATGACTGAATTCTATAGGCTATATTTTGTTCTTTGTATTTTTTGTATTTTTATTTTCTCATTTATTTTAGTTTAACAGGTGATTTATTTAAAGTTACATATGAAAAAACTGTATATAGCCTATATATATTATATAATATATATTATATAAAATTATCTTTCTCCCATTTGTAGATTTTTATATGTAGTTAATAAAATGTGGTAAATTTAAAGTTATATATATATATATATATATATATAATAGCCTATATAGTTAATATATATAGTTTTAAAAAAATCTAGTTCTCTCATTTATTTTTTCTCACGAGTGTATGTTTACTGTAGCCCATATATAGTTAATATAATGTAGTTAATTTAAAAATTATATAATGTATAGTTAATTTAAAATTACACACAAAAAAAATATTAATATTATATATATTTCTCATCTATTTTTCGTTTTTTTTTCCTTCACACGTGTGTATTATTAGCCTATACCTAAATAAGACATTTTATATAAAGTAATCATATGCTTAATTATACATTGTTCTACATTGTTGCTCATATTAACGTATTTAATCCTAGCAACAGTGCGTACCAAACACTAATGTAAAGTATTCATGTATTTCTTTCTTTCTTTCTTTTTGGGGTCTCCTCGGGATTTCTCTCACTGGAGGGTGGGGCTCTATTGAGAACTGCCTCCAGCGGTTGGACAAGCACAGTTTTGTCTAGTAAACTCTTGTTAACGCTTTACCCAGCATCTGTCTGCTCGGAGAACAGGTTTATCCGAGGTTCAAAAATAGATAGTGCAATTAATTTAAAAATATCTCCGATGATGATATGTGTGTGTTAGTCACTGGCGTGGCGCGTGAAAGTTGATGGTGGGCTGCCTCTCAAAAGTTCTCACAAGTTGTTCAAACAGGAGAAGAGATATAATGCTTCTTCAACGAGACGAGCTTCAATGAAATAATGTAAGTGACTTTTTGAACTACTTATACGTTTCTTTGTGAAATTAGCCGAACGTTACATATTCAGACTAAATCTCAAGTAAATAAATCTTGTGGTTTTCCCTGGTTGACTTTCGCTGACAATAAAGGGCTCTGATTAGTTGAAATAGAATTTGACCAAAAGATATTGATACGTTTTAATGAATGTTTAAAATATCGTCTAAAATTAATCCTAATAATAATACTATTAGAAACTGAGTGAGCTGTGAGACCGCTTTTTATTTTTATATATTTTCTCTTATTTTAAACAACGTTGATATTCAAGTAGGTCATTTACTTTTATAAATGGGAAGTGCATGTAGTCTTGTTTTATGAATAACTGATGTATTGTGCGCATTTAGTTGTATTTTATATCTTTTACTTAGAGTGAAATATCCATGGCCCAAAAGAATGGGTGTCACATTACAATGTTGGTGGGCAGATGAATTGCTTATTGGCCTTTTAGATGATCGCAAATAAAACTGTAAACAACTCAACTAGATAGTATTTAAAATGTCTAAGTCTAAATTATAGCTTCCACTCATAGTCTGTCTCTCTCACTATAGTAAGCTGCCTGCCTGCCTACACAACGTTTTTAGGCATCACAGACATTTGATGTCCGCCAGACTACTTGATTTTAAGGCACAACCATGAAGTAGGTTAATGTGAAATTTCTTAGGTCATTAGATGAGATGAGCTCATGTCAGAGAAAAATGAAAGAATGATGAATATCCCATTTACCTGTAGTGTTGACAGCTGTGGTGTTTCTGAAGATAGTGAAGTAATTAAAAACTGTTGAAGTACTTTTTAGTTACATCTAAGGTTTAGGTTTTGTAACTCAATAGTAGTTCATATTAATGCAAATTATTTTTATTTTGCATTATGATTTTCTTAGCATGAGAGTCTTAGCATTTTGAATACCAGAAGCCCCTGTTTCTGGTTTTCCAACTCATTTTTGCCATGATGAATCGAGTTCTTTATGCTGCTCGCACGGTCCCTTGAGTCGCTGACCCCATTCATGTGTATTTACATATGCTTAAGCGGAGCGTTCTGAACAATATTAATATGTTCCCTAATGTCATGTATTACATGAATTTTATATGGTGGTCTAAATAAATGGCCTCATTCTGATCACTCATGCCAAATGCACCACCTTACAGAGATGATATGAGGATGTTTATTTAGAGCTGAAAAATATGTAGTAACATTATGATTTGTAACAATGATTTATGTCAGGGTGTTGACTACATTCCTCTTAGATAAGATTCCCTTCTCATTTCATGCCCTGTTTAATGATTTTATTCCAGTTGTGGCTTGCCTAATGAATGCTACTGATGGCATGTTGTGGTTGTTTAATAAAATATGAATTCAAGGCCCTGTCTATTGTCCTGATTCTGCCTTCGCTTAACTGCACTGTGGGCTGAAAATAGAGATCTCTATTATCTTTTGACAATGGTTGTTAAAATGAAACAAGATCTCGGGACCTCACACAGTATCTTGTAACTTCACACACTTCAAGTCTTGGCAACAAAAGCTTACAGACTATGTGTTATTAACCATATCAAATGAAGCATTGCGTTAATCTCATTAAAACATACTCCATCTCACATGGAGGGAATTTTCCATCCATTTATAATAATGAAGACATTTATCGCTCTAATGCTAATACAGATGAACAATGCCCAATTAAACTAATAATGTCTTCGTCAGAATAACTTACGAGGTCTCTAGTGGTTGTCATCTCTCGCTGGAATCTTCATTTTCCATTAGACCTCGGATAATGACTCACCAGAACTCGCCTTCTTAGAGGCAGATTTCAGATCAGGGGTTGTTTGTTGTTGTCCAATTTCAAATTTTGCATCTTAATGTGGTTTGTAGTGAAAAGTCACAGATATGTGCAGTTGATTCTTCTGAGGTGGATGTGTGGATTGGTGCTACGTGCTTTCTAACTTTACTCTTTACTCCTTGATTCAGGAGAATCATTTGAATAACTTCTTTTTTTTCTAGTTCTTTAGAAAACCAGCTATGTTCTTATGTTTTCAAGAGCTTGGGAAAACAATACGCTGATCTGAATAACATTGATATTTATAGCTGTAACATCAAGACTGTTTTTTTTTTTATCTGTAAAGAACCAGAACCAACTCAAGAACCCAAAAAATGTCCACGATAAAGGGGTTCTTTTCTGCATCTGTGGTGCTACACGGAATCATTGAAGAGCCTTCCCCTTCCAGTAAAAACCTAAAAGTTCTGTTGGAGGTTTTGCAGCTAGTCAACAATGTGTGATTAAAAAGCTCTCAGAAGGACCATTTTAAAGTTGAAAACTATGCTGATAGTGTCAGTAGCCTCTGCTAGAACAGCACAGTCTTTTTTTATGAAGGAATGAGAGCAGGGACTCCTGGGCAATGCTCCATACAGTCCATTATTGTGGATCTGAAGAACCAAAATAGTGATCCATTCTGAGCAGGTTTTAGACTGCAATCATTGCTTTTAAGGGGATGTGCTGTAGATTCTTTTGTACTGCACATCTCAGTATCCTGACCTCTTTTTGAACATGGATGGACATTGGATGGTTAGTGTATTGTAGGGTTAACAATAGTTTAAAGGGATAGTTCACCCAAAAGTGAAAATTTCTTACGCTCATTTTGACTTTATTTCTTATGTGTAACACAAAAGAAAACCTTTTAAAAAATGTCCCTGATTTTTGTCCGTACTATGAAAGTCAATGGAGTTCAATGTTGTTTAGACCTCACTGACTTTCAAAATAATTATTTTGTGTTCTATACAGTCATGAGACGTTGACAGAATTTACATTTTTTGAGGGGTGATCTGTCTCTTTAAGACCGTGAAACGGCATTGTAGTTAAGCATTATAATTTTCTTTTTTTTAGATACTGGTTTTCTGTATAGCTAAATTGCTTTTTCAAGGTATCCTTCCGTTTATTTTAGCAGCTATGATATTTTTTTACATGCATGAACCACTTTAATAGATAACACTCTGTTATGTTTTTTTTTTTGCCTCTGGTTTCCTGTCATTTCAAGTTTTGCTTTGTAAATAGTGGTGCACCCCTTTGTAAACCTCACCATCCGTGATCTTTTTCAGCAAACTTATTATGGCTGACGTGGGAGAGTGATTAGTCATTATGTAACGGGGCAGTTTTTGCATGGCTGTGGTCACTGTTCTGACAAGAAAAAATGGTTTCCATGCCACAAATACATAATTTAAACCTTCAAAGTTCTCCCAAATTATAGATGCATGAATAAAGATATTGTGCTCCTGCGTGTGTGTGTGAGAGTGAGAAAAGCTAATGCATGAAGTTTGTGCCAGTTGCCGTGTATGAAGTGTTTTAAGTCAGTGACTAAGAAAACCAGAGACAACAGTTCATGACGCTATTTGCATTTTTTGCACAAATAAACTCGAATTTGTTTCCAAACATCCGTCAAATAATGTTCCCAGCTTTAACGGCAATCCATTTAATGAAACCTCTAATGCAGTTGTGGTTTTTGTGTATTTACACTGTACTGAAATTACATGTAAGTAATAAATTGAATTACGGGTTTTTTTTTATTTATTTAATTCGCTAAATCTGATTGGCAGGATTTCGTTCATCAGTGGTAGGTGGTGGAGATGGAAGTTCCAGAATGCAGTTTTCCTGCTGCTGCTCTGCTTCTCGACTTCAGGTAAAGGAGCTCTACAGCTGTAAATGTAAAATGTAATAATGCAAATAGTGTGTTATCAGGAAATGTAAGCCATAGTTAAGTTCTGATCTGAGTTTATATGTATATTGATTGCACATCATGCTAATCAACATTGCTTCCATTTCATGAATTCATCTTTTCCCCTTTTTAATGTCATGTTTCATATTTTCAATTTACTTTTTTCACTGTTTTCTCCATTCAATTTATATGTATATACATGTTTTGAACTTTCTGTCAGCTTCCTTACATTTGTTTAAATAACTTTCTTGCTCTGTCATGCTTTTTTAATCACCTTTGACATGCTTTTGTTGTCCTTGTCCTAGTCACAACCAGTTATACATGAAAAATATCTCATAAAAAGACATTTTTTAAAATAACGCCACATTCAGTTTAGTTGTGAAGAAAGATCCTACATATACTCCTCCATATATAATTAAAACAGGACCCAAGGGTGAGATCTGGCTCTGTCAGTGGGCTCACAGCATGCATTGGTGGGCTAAACTATTTACCGAAACTGCTTCTGTTTGTAGGCCAGTCATTACGCACAACATTTGTAGTTGTTTTTGTGGAGCTGACTAATCTTTGTTACGACAGAGTTATTATTCAGACGTGTTATTAATGTTTTCAGAACCAAAAAAACATGGCCTTAACTGGCAGCTTGAATCCTTAATCGGCCTGTTGTTGCTGAATTTAAGTTCCCTGTGCGCAGTAGTCGAATTGTAAAAAAATTTCAGGGGGGATGGTGTGGTCAATTTCTTTTTCGGGGGGATGGGGGGGTTTGTGGGTCCTGTAGCTAATTTTACATAATGATTTCAAAATTTGTCTAATTTTTAAAAAGGTTTTTATTTAATGATAAGACCGTGAAACGGCATTGTAGTTAAGCATTATAATTTTCTTTTTTTTAGATACTGGTTTTCTGTATAGCTAAATTGCTTTTTCAAGGTATCCTTCCGTTTATTTTAGCAGCTATGATATTTTTTTACATGCATGAACCACTTTAATAGATAACACTCTGTTATGTTTTTTTTTTTGCCTCTGGTTTCCTGTCATTTCAAGTTTTGCTTTGTAAATAGTGGTGCACCCCTTTGTAAACCTCACCATCCGTGATCTTTTTCAGCAAACTTATTATGGCTGACGTGGGAGAGTGATTAGTCATTATGTAACGGGGCAGTTTTTGCATGGCTGTGGTCACTGTTCTGACAAGAAAAAATGGTTTCCATGCCACAAATACATAATTTAAACCTTCAAAGTTCTCCCAAATTATAGATGCATGAATAAAGATATTGTGCTCCTGCGTGTGTGTGTGAGAGTGAGAAAAGCTAATGCATGAAGTTTATGCCAGTTTCTGTGTATGAAGTGTTTTAAGTCAATGACTAAGAAAACCAGAAACAACAATTCATGGTGCTATTTGCATTTTTTGTGCAAATAAAATCGAAACATTTCCAAACATCCGTTGCGTCAAATGATGTTCCTGGCCTTAACTACAATCCATTTAATGAAACCTCTAATGCAGTTGTGGTTTTTGTGTATTTACACTGTACTGAAATTACATGTAAGTAATAAATTGAATTACGGGTTTTTTTTTATTTATTTAATTCGCTAAATCTGATTGGCAGGATTTCGTTCATCAGTGGTAGGTGGTGGAGATGGAAGTTCCAGAATGCAGTTTTCCTGCTGCTGCTCTGCTTCTCGACTTCAGGTAAAGGAGCTCTACAGCTGTAAATGTAAAATGTAATAATGCAAATAGTGTGTTATCAGGAAATGTAAGCCATAGTTAAGTTCTGATCTGAGTTTATATGTATATTGATTGCACATCATGCTAATCAACATTGCTTCCATTTCATGAATTCATCTTTTCCCCTTTTTAATGTCATGTTTCATATTTTCAATTTACTTTTTTCACTGTTTTCTCCATTCAATTTATATGTATATACATGTTTTGAACTTTCTGTCAGCTTCCTTACATTTGTTTAAATAACTTTCTTGCTCTGTCATGCTTTTTTAATCACCTTTGACATGCTTTTGTTGTCCTTGTCCTAGTCACAACCAGTTATACATGAAAAATATCTCATAAAAAGACATTTTTTAAAATAACGCCACAATCAGTTTAGTTGTGAAGAAAGATCCTACATATACTCCTCCATATATAATTAAAACAGGACCCAAGGGTGAGATCTGGCTCTGTCAGTGGGCTCACAGCATGCATTGGTGGGCTAAACTATTTACCGAAACTGCTTCTGTTTGTAGGCCAGTCATTACGCACAACATTTGTAGTTGTTTTTGTGGAGCTGACTAATCTTTGTTAGTTATTATTTATTATTCAGACGTGTTATTAATGTTTTCAGAACCAAAAAAACATGGCCTTAACTGGCAGCCTTAATCGGATCAAGTCACAACATGTTGAAAAAAACAGAACAGAAACTCATATGCTACATTTACAATGTACAACAGACAAAGGGGCGCTCCGCTTTCCATTCCTTATCCTCAAAACGACGGCACAATGGACAGGGGTAACTAATTTTACATAATAATTTGTCTAATTTTTAAAAAAGGTTTTTATTTAATGAAAAATTAGCCTTATTAGATGAACTATTATTTATAAGCTTTTCTCCCTTCTTGGGCCTGAAATGGAGGAATTTTGGTCAATATTGATAATTAAACAATATTTTGCTAAATGGGTTTTTGTGCTGAAAACTTGGCTGGATTAGTCCTGTCATGGATAAATAATGATGACAATAAAACCACCAGTAGGTGGCAGCAAAATCTGTGTATCATTCGATCATTCGTTTTTTGATTTAATATTGAAAGTAGAAAAATGAGAAAATGGCTCCTTTTTCTTTTTTTTTTTTTTTTCCAATAAACGAAAAACAAGAATTCATCTTAAATTTTCGTTTTTCGTTCATGGGTGGAAAAATGAATAAACAGCTTGAATATTCGATTTCTACACGTTGGTGGGAATTAAACGCCCCTTTCTGCTGATTGATCAGCCGAAGATCAAGAATAATAGTAATCGTAATAGTAAAATAGTAATAATAATCAGAATAATAGTCCTCCACTGCTGCAGTTGTACGGATTAATAACCCATTTGATCAATTTCATATTTTTCTCATCAAACAGACTAATGAATAGCTCGACACAACTCGTACCGGGGCAGAGTCTAACTACATTATATAACTCTAACAGTAGGCTATTTAATATCTGTTGTTCTCCGGTTGTCAGTCAGAATGACAGTTCTTGTGTGAACATATGCCTATATATACCCAAGCCAATTTAATATTCTTTCCTTTTTGTCTTAGTGTTTCAAATATTTATTTTGAAACGAATTAATTAATTAATTTCTTAATTAAACAAACAAACAGACTTACTGGGTGAGCAGGGTAGGCTATGACAGCTGTCATATCATACCCTGCCATGCCCAGCTGATGCAAAGAATAGAATTTATATCTACACAGAAGAAAGCCCTGTCTAGACTCTGCCCCAGTATGAGTTGTGTCAAGCTATTCATTAGCCTGTTTGTTTGATGAAAAAAGATTAAATGTAGTTGCAATAAATGCTTAAGAATCCATACAACTGCAGCAGTGGAGGACTATTATTCTGCTGCGTGATACTGCGGAAGAACTGATGACGGCACGGTTTGATCTTCGGCTGACCAATCAGCAGAAAGGGGCGTTTAATTCCCGCCCACGTGTAGAAATCGAATATTCAAGCTGTTTATTCATTTTTCCACCCATGAAGGAAAAACGAAAATTTAAGCTGAATTTTCGTTTTTCGGAATAAAACAAAAAAATGGAAAGGGAGCCGTTTTCTAATTTTTCTACTTTCAGTATTAAATCAAAAAAACGAATGATCAAATTATACACGGAAGCCCCTGTTTTGATAAATGATTTATTGAATAGTTCAAATCAAACGACTCATTCAAAACGGCTGATTCAATTAGAAACGTAACAAGCCTGCGTCCCAATGTGCATAATATCCATCCTAAATTCTATGTGATATTAGTAATTTTCAGTACTTTTTAGGGCAAAACGGCTGATTCAATTATAAACGTAACAAGCCTGCGTCCCAATGTGCATAATATCCATCCTAAATTCTATGTGATATTAGTAATTTTCAGTACTTTTTAGGGCAGATAGGCTGGATAGTATGCACATTGGGACGCAGGAAAAGTGTCCATCTGAATGGGCCGTTGAATCACTGGCTCACTTGATTCGTTCAAAAACTTGATTCATTCAAGGAACGAAACACCATGTTACTATGCACTGTTGTATAAAATTAATAGCACATTTGTGCTCGCGCATGTAGGCCTTGTAGGTATTTTTTCTTTAATTGCTTGAATTATAAGGTTATTTTACCTGTATTTTAATAGGCTTCATCGCGCAGTGAATGCTTTTGGACTCTCAAGACGTGTTTTTGTTTGGTTTTTGCAAGGTCGATGACTCGATAATGTCAGCTCTCCTATCATCTCTCAATCCCTCACAGTTACACATACCATTGGTGCTCGCACATGTAGGCCTCCTGATATTCAGAAAAGTACATTGCTTGTGCAATTAATATAAAAACTCATACATGGGTATTTTTTCTTTAATTGCTTGAATTATAAGGTTATTTTACCTGTATTTTAATAGGCTTCATCGCGCAGTGAATGCTTTTGGACTCTCAAGACGTGTTTTTGTTTGGTTTTTGCAAGGTCGATGACTTGATAATGTCAGCTCTCCTATCATCTCTCAATCCCTCACAGTTACACATACAGCACAATAACATTATGTCAGGGGAATTTTTTAAAATTCTAATGAAGGAAAAATCATACGTTTTCTGTTGTCATCTTTTTAAAGAAATTCAAAAGTTGCGCTTGAACCATTTTGCGCGAAAAATGACGAACACTTGCTTCCGCTTGTGCGCAGCTTGTTACAGAACAGAGTTCTGATTGGCCAATCGCCGTTATTAGTGAATTATCTTAAGTAGATCATTTTAACATTTCATTTGCATGATAAGTTTTACATAATACACATTATATTAATCCAAAGGGGATGGTAAGGGGGGGATGGTGGTTTTACTGAGGGGATGCTTTTTGTAATTTTTTTCTACCAGGGGGATGCCATCTCCCCGCATCCCCCCTCAATTCGAGCCCTGCCTGTGCGCTGCATATGAAAAGCATGTGTCTTTTTAATATTAGTGGCATACCATGGCTCGCCTGATTTGTTCATACTGTTATATTGGTCCAAGAAGGAACGTTTACAGTGTTTGGATACCTGTCAGGAATGGTTTAGAGCAAAGATCAGATTTAATGCTGGGAATCAGCATCAGGGAAATTTCTAAAGCGTTTTAAAAGTTTAAACGACGGACAAGCGAGTGCTAAAACTCTTTCAAAACAATGAAATTCGATTAATGTAAGCCACAGCAAAAACAAATAATGGAATAATGTTGTGGTGAGAAGGCCAAGAGCAATTTCGAGCATCATTTTAGGACGTCCGCCTCTCGTAGGCATTCCAGACCTCACTTAAATCACGCCTAAATAAAATGTAGTTCAAACTTGGACAATTCTTGATGAAAAAACTTGTTGATTAGATCTGATTTGTCACATTCAGTAAACAGCGCACACAGACTCTCCATCCCAGACATGGAACCTTTACTGTCCTCGTGCAAGAGGTTGTCATTAAAACCAGATGTGATTATGGCCCATAGAGAGACCAACCCCTTTGTGCATAAGTTCACAATATGCTTTTGTTGCTTGTTTTCATACCAAAAACCGCAAATGTACACACAACTTGTCACATGTTTGTTCTTGGATGCCCTTGTTTTTCTGCCATGCTTCATAAGCCAAGGAGCCATGGGTGTGTTTATAGAGTTACATCTCACTGAATCCTTATAACAGCTCCTCCATGTTGATCAAGAGCAACGCAAAAAAAAAGTGCACAAGTGATGGACTTAATTAAGGAACAGCTCCCCCCAAAATGAAAATAATATCATTTACTCACCCTCATGCCATTCCAAGCCCATGTTATTTTTTCTTGATTCCATTAAACACTAAATGAAATGCTGGGCAGAATGTCAGCCGTTTTTCCCATACAATGAAAGCAGATTTCAAAGTTTATAATTCTATGATTCAAAATGATAAAAAAAGCCTCATAAAACTGTCAAAAAAGTGGTCACATTTATATTTTAGTGTGAGAATTATTGTGGGATTATAGGGCATGTATCATGGACTACTTTATTGACCTTCACTTCAGCAGCAGGCACTTCACAACAGTGCTCAAATCCCATATAGCAGCTTATTTGTTTTGTTATTTTATTTTTATTTTATTTTATATGAAAAAGAACAGCTTGGACATTCTGCCTTGCATCTCCTTTTATTTTTCATGAAAGAAAGAAAATAACGCAGGCATCCGTAATGACAGAAAGGTGACAATTTTTTTTTAGCATTTTTAGGTGAACTGTTAATTGACCCTTGGCAGATGAATGCAGCACACCTGAGGTACAAAGACAGCAGGTAAACTGCAAGGAGAGTGAGAGAAATGAGACACTTCAGGATTAAAGCTTTCACAAAATGTGACGCTGCTGAAAGGGCTATTTTTAATCTCCCAGGCCTTTTTAGCCTGAGATCCATGTATCTGGCATTCCATCTTTTGGCATCTTCCCTAAGCGCCCTTCTTCTAAAAGGACATTTTGAGATCAAAGCTCTCCTTTTCTCCTGTAAAATCATGCAGGCATTGTTTCATTGACCTTCACTTCATCAGCAGTCACTTCACAACACTGCAAATCCCATATCACCAGTATTTTGTTTTGTTTTGTTGCTATAGTGCAAAAATTAGTTCGTAAACCAGTGCCTTTTTCAGTTTAATACCTTTTTAAACATTATTTTTATACAATTTTAAGTGTAATAAATTACATTGTTCCATCTCAAGTGAAATGAATATAGTTTAATAAATGTGCGATATAATTACACCTTCAAAAAGATAACATTACAAATTACATGTATGTTTCATTTCATTTTCAACACATTTAAAGGGGTCTTATGATGCTATTTTAAAGATAATTATTTTGTGTATTTGGTGTAACAGAATATGTTGACATGCTTTAATGTTCAAAAAACACATTATTTTTAAAATACTGTACATTATTGTAGGTCCTCTATGCCCCGCCTCTCTCAAACGCGTCGTTTTCAACAAAGCCCCCTCCTTTGACAAGCGCAGTCTGCTCTGATTGGCCAGCTGACCCAGTGCATTGTGATTGGCCGAACACCAAAAGCACGCGTCGGAAATGTAACGCCCCTTACCATAATCGCGAGCTTCAGCTTTCAAAGTAAATATCAAGACAGTTAATAATGTCGTTAGTTTTACCATCAGTTCAAGCCGAAAGGGCAACAGAGTCGCGTGACAGACACAGTGATGATGCAGTACACAAGCCGCGGTTAAGACAGCTGACGTGCTATGATTTCTGACAGGCAGTTCACTCTCCTGTGATGTGACCCTGTTCCCCTCTCTCACACACACACGCACGACGCGTTACTCTACGCTGCGCAAAACTCGCATTTGAACAGTCAATAGCAAATACTTAAACTAATAACAAAACATTCTTACAGTTGCTGATTCAGAAGTGCCAGATTGTCATGGCAAAGTCGGATTTGACCCTTTTTTTTTTTTTTAGAAATAGCCTTTGTACACAGCCAGCCTTGTACTCTTAAAGTCCTCCATAAAATGTGTTGCACAAATTCGAACATCTGGGTTGTGCTGTTCTGTTGTAAATAAATCTTAACCAATGATTCCTAATTGCATCTACTTCCGGAAGGCCAAATAAAGTGCTTTTGCTTTCGCACTGAAACACACAGCGTCTCACTGACATGGCTGCATCAACACTACTGCTGTTCCTGAAACCACGCCTTCTTTCTTTGCGTGCACATTTGGGCGGCATTATGCTAATATTTCCACATAGTGACGTAGATATGTGGGGGCATGTTAGAACGAGCCGTTTTAGGTAGGCATGGCTGACTCTTAACTTTTATAAAGAATATCTCTTTGGATTTGAGACTTTAGTCTTTGCAACTTTACAGATCTTCTTTATGCACCAAGAGCTTGTAACACTCCAAAGAGAAAGGAAAACTTGAAATCGCATCATATGACCCCTTTAATGAACTTACACTCAACACATAGTGAAAGCTGTTATCAGCTATTAATTTTTACACATAAGTATATGAACGAGACAAATTGTACTTATTTTGAATGATCTCATAGTGAGTAAATGACCTTTGAGTGGAGTGATCTTGTTTTGTACAGTTTGTGCGAATGAAATTCATTAAAAAAGGCAGGTGACGTGTTCAGTCCCCCTGACGCACTACTGAGATGGGAACCAGGATCTGAGCAGCACACGATATATTGTGCCAGTTAGAGCTGTAGCTTCTGTAGCACAGTTAGTCGTGCCGCTTTTTACTGTGGCCCACTCCGACAGCTTTGCACACAACTATAAAACAGCAGGATATTCCAGTAGCGTGATTCCGTCCAATAGTGATTTCAGCCTCTTTCTGCAAAACACTCACAGGCCACTTGTCAAAAGCTGATCCCATTCCTTGCTTGTTTAAACCCCAGGCATGATGGCGGAAAGAATTATCTTTTTTCCCCTCACCTCTTTACTTGTTTTTGCTGGACAACTGTTATGAATTTTCCACCGTTTTCTGTCCCAGGTGTGTCGATGGGGTCTTGTTTGTGGTGGGTTTTGTAGTGACCCAGCTCAGACTGGTCTGACATTCTGATTTGTGCGGTGTATTTGATCCTCCAGAAGAGACCAGGAGAATGCAAATGTGCAGAAACGTTAGCTTATGCTCCGATAAAAAGGGTCTGCTATACATTTATGAAGTGTTGTTTGCATGTAGAGCCTGCTGGCTTTTCAACGTGAAATAAAATAAAAAATTAGGTAGTTACATGTATAAAATCTATTAAGTTAAATTGTTTTACAGTTTACAACTTGCAGCGATACAGCCAACGATCGTTTTGCCCTGGAGCCATAACACATAATGTGCTATACTTTATTAAATTCAGAGTCACTCTCCAAAAGTAATTTTAATCACATATTTTGCCTTTTCTTGCATATTTAGTTTAATTTAAATTAGGCTTGAATGCTGGCACAGGGGTATGGGAAACAAGCACAAATGAAAATTTCTTATAGTGTTATTCCATTAAGAAATTATCTGTTAATTTTGTACATTTATAAAACTTGACCTGAGGCACACCTCTGCAAGAATATGTGTGTATATCGCTATTATGTATGTTAGTAATTTGTATCCTTTAAAGTTCATTCACGTTTACCTTGTAGTGTATTTGGTCTGGACCTGACTTAAAATGAATGATAGCTTTAAAATGCTTTAAAATAAGCTAAAACAAGAACATTTAGTTAGAAACAACTTCAACAACTTGAGATATATATATTTTATTCCATACATATTTTATTCCGTTACTTTCTACCAAATTTGTTAGAGAGTAAACAAAGTTCATAATTTGCAACAGTAGTGATAATGTGCAACAGTAGTGATAATGTGCATTCATAGTTTTCATAAAAAGACATCTTTTGATTCTAGGAATGCTTTTAGATTTCTGACCACTTCTAAACAGAATCAGAAAGGAGAAAAGTGTGTGGTTTTGGCTTCTTGACAGTTTGGATTGAAATGTAAATGGTCTAAAATTCAGCCTTTATATCAACTGTCCACTCTGGTGAACACAAGGCATGTAATGACTCAGGTCTCTGAAGAGAGCGAACTCTGTGGTTTAGTTTGT